GAGAATTACATCAAAATAATCACTTACAATTAATATTCATAGATCATCTCAATCTTCTCTAATTTTATAGAGTATTTTTAACCAAAACAAATACATACTCATGTATACCTATACATCATACCTATATGGTGCTTTTTAATCTCTTCTAGTCCACTCATAAACATTTAAATATACACATAAGACATGAATCCTCAATAGTCCTATGGGATGTCTATTCCATAAAACTCTACAACTCTCTTACATATTTTTCTCATGTCTAACCTTATAGAGACCTCATTTATTTATAAGCATACAAACTTACCTATTAAAATTTTTTTTCCTTTTGTTTGCAAGTCAAACTTACTTATTAAGAATCCATTTCCTCTTAAAATTTTTTTTACAAGTTTTTTTATCTATCAAGCAATATTTAACTAATCTCAAATAAATCTATTATAAAATTTGAGTCATTATTCACAACAATATCCACATTGACTCAAATTCTATCACATCATTTGTTTTCATACTAAATACGCTTAGTTCTACCCGCAATAAAAGTCTTACAATTATCTTCTTTTATATGTCTTCACATTTCATGCAAATTAATCTTTAAAATACAAATTCGAATTTCTTTCTTGAGTCAAGCTTTTCTAGATTTACCTATTCCCATAGCTTGTATCATGCTTTGATACCATTTGTTAGGGATCATCACAGCTTTGATATCACTTATTAGGCCAAAAAGCCTCTATCCAATCAAACCAGCAGAAGTATAATCAAATATTAATCAATCACATAAGAGATAACAATTTAACGTAATTTGATCTAATTGACCTAGATACACGGATGAGAAAAAAGATTCACTAATTATAAAAAATTACATCAAAACAACCACTTAGAATTAATACCCATAGACCCTCTCAATCTCTTTTAGTCCTATAAAGTATTTTCAATCAAAACAAACACATACTCATGTGCACCTATGTATCATATCTATGTGAACCCTCTTAATCTTCTTTAGTCCACTCACAAATATTCAAATATACCCACCCAATCTCCTCTAATTTACTCATAAATATTCAAATATACACACCCATAATACATGAATCCCTAATAGTCCTATGAGATATCTATCTCATAAAACTCTACAACTCTCTTACATATTGTCCTTCACTTATTTATAAGCATATAATCTTGCCTATTAAGAATCATTTTCCTCTTAAAATTTTTTTTTTACAAGTCAAATTTACCTATTAAGAATTATTTTCCTCTTAAAATTCTTTTTCTGTAAGTTTTCTTATCTATCAAGTAATATTTAACCAATCTGAAACAAATTTATTATGAGATTTGAGTCATTATTCTCTACAACTGTTATTGATAGTTGTTTGCATCAGCAAATTTTGTAATTAATCCTATTGAATGGAGTAGATGTTTGATATTACATCAAGGTAACAACGCTCAAGAATCAATATTCAATACCCTGCACCTGCAAAGTTCAAAATTTTCTGCAACAAAAGCTTGTATTAGAAAATGTCAGTTTGCTCTCTTCATTTTTCTGTCTTCATTTAAAGAAGAAGCAAAAAGTCGAATGACAAAAATACACAAAACTGACCTGAATAGGCAAAGCATCCATCTCTGCTCTTAAAGCAACAAAAGGTGAAGAACCAGATCCGATTGTAGCCACAACACCAGTTCTAGCAACAGGCCACCGGTAAGCAACACCAAGCAGATCAAGTTCATCCCTAATAAACCCACTAGTCTCAACTTCTTGATAAGCAAGTTTAGGGCACTCGTGTATTTTCCTCCTTATCTGCATCATCCAATCCACCCAAGTATCTAGTCTTTGACTGACACGTTTGGACCAGTTGTTGGAGTGAAAGAACTAAAGCAGTCTTCATGGCAAGAAACTTGGCATACTAAAGAGAAGCAGAGGGGTGACAAAATTATGGAGATTAAGAACATGTGTTGTACAATGTCCAGGGGCCTTGGCCAAGCCAAAGTTGGTTCAAGTGAAATAAAGTGGTGTTTCAGATTAGTAGGAATTCATAGGATTTTTTATGTAATTTTTCTCGCTTTACCTTTCTTTACTTAGAAGTAGAATTTTTTTTAACGATTTGTTCTGTTTCTGGCTTTATATAGTACATTTCTTTTCACTCGGAAACGCAGCTGCAGGATTCTTGACCTTTGGATCTATCCTTCTATTATATAAAACTTATTGTAATTTTTTTAGGTCAAATTTATGAAATTTATTCTTAAAAATAATTTAATAAAAAATTTTAAACTGATAAATTAATAAAGTTTATTGTGAAATCAATAATATATAAAAAAATTATTAAAAATATTATTTATGATTTAAACTTGATTGATACTTATTTAATCGTATTTAATAAAAAATTTTATGAATTTTGATTTTTCAATTATATAATGAAAATTTTCAATCTATTAATTTTGATTTTTAATTTTAATTTTTATTTAATCGTATTTAATAAAAAATTTTATGAATTTTATCTTAAAATTTTCGTCTAATTAACAGAGTTTAATGTAAAAATTAATAATATGTAAAAAAAATTATTAAAAATATTACTTATAATTCAAATATAATCTATTCTTATTTACCAATAAAAGTTTTAATAATAATATTATTAAAAATATCTATTTAAAAATATATATCAAAATTTATTAAACTTTTTTAAAATTTTACACTAATAAAAGTTTTTAATCTAGTAATTTTGATTTTTAAATTTAATTTTTATTTAATCGTATTTAATAAAAAAATTTATGAATTTTATCTTAAAATTTTCGTCTAAAATTTTCCCCAATAGCCAACGAATCCTATTTTGTTTTTGGGTAAATGCATTATTCTCGTAATGGAATGCAATTCCCATTTATAGTTGGACTTTAGTGTTGCAGCATTATCCAATCATTTTCACATTCTCCACGTTTTTCTATTTCCTCAAAATCGTCGCAGTATGTTAAATTCGGCTTCCTACTAATTTCAAAAAAAAAAAAAAAATCTAACTTTATATATTGAAATAGATTTCATTAAATATAAATTATTTTATTATTTTTAATTATAAATCAAAATTAAAATCAAACTTAATTCACACCTCATTTCTTTCAAATTATACTACAACAAAATATCAAATCCAATCGGATTAACACTTATTAACTCCATTGATATTTTTAATTTATTGTTCAAGGCTCGTTTAATTTACATTTAATATCAAAATATTAGATAATATTATTTTTTTAATTTTTTAATTTTTTTAATTTAAAATCAAATAAAATAATTATTTCATAATAAAATATTACCACAAACCAAGTTTGAACTTAAAATTTTGATAAACTCAAGTCGATCAAGTCAACATAAAAAAAAAAATCTTTTCTTTCATTTTTTAATCAAGAAAAAAATCTATTCTTAAATAATAAAAAAACAAATTTCATTCTTGAATTCACCTTACATTTTTCTCAACAAATTATGTTACATATATATTACCCAAGTTGGAATGATATTTGTTGAGGACCACATCCTATTTGAATATGTTGAAAAAACTTTATTCTTTTAATTTTTTTAAAATATTTAATTTACTTTTGAACTCTTTTCACTAATATTTATTTTGGCTGAAGATGTTATTACGTGCACAAAATTTTTCGAATTTATAGTTTGCAAAAGTGCTAGCCTCAGTATATACCAACTAAACCAAAAATCAATTATTAATATTATATTATTAATTCGAAAAAACCAAGATTAAATATTTATTTGGTCTCTATATGTTTTTTGTCATTTTAATGCTTGCAGAATAATAATTTGTAATTAAGTACTAGAATTTATTGTTAGCTGTCAGACACTTTGGTTATTAAAATTAATACCGATAATTAAGTAGTTGATGTAGCCAAAATGTCCAATAAAATCATAATACGTGTAAAACATAGTCAATTATTACCGCATCATTCATTTTTCTTAAAACAAGAAAATAATAAAAATAATAAAATAATTATTTTAAAATTTCTACAAAAAAACCATTTTAAACAATATAAAAAATTGTATATAAGTTCCAAAAAATTCAAAACAAAAAATAAATTTAATATTTTTAAAAGATCTTAAAATTTTCTTAAAAAATTCAAAATACTGTTTTTAAATAAAATTTAAAAATTATTTTTTAAAAATTAAAAAAAAAGAATCAGAGAGGGAGAGGGAGAGGGAGAGTGAAAGGGGGCCACCGGTAACAATCAACTGGCCCGGAGATCCCGTCTTTCTTTTCTTTTCCTCTTGGATTCTATTCTTTTTTTTATATATTTTTTTTATTTTTAAATTAAAATTTTAATTTTAATTTTAAAAAAGTTTTCAATATTGTTTGTCTGCTCTCGGTTTGATTTAATCCTTTGAGCTAACATAATATATATTTTGATTTTGAATTAATTAGAAAGATTGTAGAGTAAATCAAATAAATGGTTAAAATAAATTTAAATTTATAGTAATTTACAAAGATTTGGTCTTTTATTTTATTTTGAAGTTATGTAATTTTAAATTTTTTCAAATTTCAAATACAAAAATTTGGTTTTTATTTGAATTTGTTTAGCTAAACAATTTTTTACATTATCTTACATGTTTAAAAATATAAATTATCCGTATAAACATACGTTATCAAGTATTTTTGTACCTTAAAAAATATTTATGATTTTGTGAACCCAAACACCAACACCCTTATCCACATATACTATTTTTGTTGCCTTGAGCATAAATGGTTTGTTTCCGTGTATTGGGGAGAGAAATTCGGCTCCAAGTCCCGGGTCACCGCTCGTTGGTCTTGCACGAGTCCAATAACCATTGGCATGCAATGCAATGCAACCCAAATATATATATATATATATATGCATATATATGTATATACAATAAATAACTTCCCTCTAATCTGTTCCCTTCAAGCATATTGCACCCTTCTCCTACAAAAACTCCCACAATTCCTTTTCTCTTCCAAACAAATTAAAAGCGTAAAATTCCCTTGACATTTTGTCCACGCCCAAAACAAGCATCATTAATTTCCGATCTCTCAATACGATATGGCCTTCTCTAATTACATTTTCCTTGTCATCCTCTTTTCTTTCCTGTCGCTCCTTCCCTCAACGCAATCTCAACTATCCACCGATTATTATAACAAAACATGCCCTCAGTTTCATAACATAATGCAAAGAATCATTGCTGATAAGCAACTCAGTAGCCCCACAACCGCCGCTGCCATCCTCCGTGTCTTTTTCCACGACTGTTTCGTGAATGGCTGTGACTCCTCCATTCTCATTGCCTCCAACGCCTTCAACAAATCGGAGCTAGACGCAGACTCTAACCTGTCCCTCGCTGGAGATGCCTTCGATCTGATCACTCGTGTCAAGACTGCTCTCGAGCTTGAATGCCCTGGCATTTTTTCCTGCTCTGACATTCTCGCCGTTTCCACTAGAGACCTTGTTGTCATGGTAGGGGGTCCTTTCTATGAAGTCCTTCTGGGGAGAAAAGACAGCAAGGTATCTGATCCCTCTATAGTCGAAAGTAACCTTCCGAAATCTACAACACCAGTGAGTAAGTTGCTTTCTCTCTTCTTTACCAAAGGGTTTTCAGCGGAAGAAATGGTTGCTCTTGTCGGTGCACATACCATTGGTTTCTCCCATTGTAAAGAGTTTGCCAGTCGAATATTCAACTTCAGCAAGACCTCTGAGTATGACCCTGCGTATAATCCTGTATTCGCACTAGGGTTAAGGAAACTCTGCGCTAATTATACCATAGCTCCAGAAATGTCAGCTTTCAATGATGTGTTCACTCCAGGAAAGTTTGATAACTTGTATTACAAGAATTTGCAAAGAGGATTGGGGTTGTTATCATCTGATCAGGCTATGGTCACGGACAACAGAACCAAGCCATTTGTGGATCTGTTTGCTGCAAACCAGACAGCATTTTTTGATTTGTTTGCTCGTTCGATGGAGAAGTTGAGCGTTTATAAAATCAAGACAGACAAGGATGGGGAAGTAAGGCGCCGATGCGATCAATTTAACACCTTTCAGACTTGATGAAAATTAGTAGCGCAGGTTGATAATGAAAAAAAAAAAAAAACTTTCTTTTATGTTCCATGATTTATATGGTCAACAAGTGACTCCATTTTATTTTAATCTTAAAATTTATTTCTAACTATTCATGTATTTATATAAATATTGAAATTCATATATTTGTATAATATTTTATATGAAAAATTACTTATCACAATTCATATTAATACGAAAATATAAAAATATTTTTTTATTTATTAAGTATTTATTGTTAAAATTTTAATTCGATTTTTTTTATATTTTTTTATATATTTGTTCATATTATATCATTATTAAATCTAAAATCTTGTAAGAAATTGTTCAAAAAGCATTGTCCACTATAATTTCTTGCGTTTTTTATTAAACAATCCTTAAAATGTGCTTTCAATGTCAATCATCCCATTAAAACAAACAAAAGTCCCTCTGACTTGCGGCAACTGAAAATCTACCTTTAGAAAATCCCAGGGTTTATAACGAGATTACCAGATGCCACAACAATCACCCACAATTCAAGCTCTCTTCGTTTCTGTTAACAATTTCAATTCTTCTATCACTTCAAAAACACCAGAGGTCAAGAACAAGAAGACAAAAAGCATTTGCACCACCTGATACATCAACATTTTATATTCTTCAGCAAAAAGTAGAGAATAAAAATAAATCACTGGTTGCGGCACATAGCTTAACCAACAACCATGAGTTAAACCTGCATGCGCTTCTGATACATTCCTAAAAGTCGGTTAGAATCAGTTAAATATTCCGGCAACAGGAAAGAGAGTAGGCCAAGGAGGTAGTAATAGACTGCCATTTCTTTAACTGAAAAATACAACCGGTGCAACGAGTTGATCAAAAGAGAATCTTGAAAATTAATTTTATGCAATTTACAAGTATTCTTGTTGAGAATACAAAAGGGGAAAAATAACAAGTTAAGACCTAGGAAAAAAGGGGGAAAAAAGAAAGAATTTTACAATAACAATGAGTTGTCATCCTTGACATGCTGAAGAAATGGTTAAATTATATCTTAACCATCTTCATTCCATGGTCAACATATTATGGTGCGGTGCCGTACTTGCCTGCAAATATGTTGAACCACTGCAATAAATTATGGGGGCAGAAACAGATGATTTGTAGAACCCAAAGGTTGCTGACTTCTTTATAACCTGATACAGTAATCAACACGGTTTAAGCAATCATTACTGTTCATCCAATTGACGGGAAGCTTCCTATAAAATGAAATTCCATATTTTACCAGTTCAGCATGGCTTTCTCTTGTCAACTTTTAATTGGATATTATACCATTTCTTCTTCTTAGTTCTATCCCGCATATAATGTTTCCTGTCTCTCACTTCGCCATCTTCTTTGGCCTCCTTGGAGGCACCCTTACTCTTGTTCCTACTTGAACTTCGCTTAATTGGAGGAACAGTTGTGTATGAGGCATGAATCTCATTCCTTTGTTTGAGAAGCTCATCAATCTGCAAAACCAACATATAGGATGTGCCCAGGAAAGTTATCCATTTACTTATGAATTCAATTCTCATGGAACTTAGACACAAAATTTCCATGAGTTAATTTCACCTCTTGCATTTCCTTTGTATATCTGCTTGTCATCTCGGTAAATTGTGCCAAGACCTGACAACAATCTACATGAATATCAACAAGAAACAAGGTCTAATACAGACATACGCACTGCATTTCTGAAAGTATATACCTCTCTGTATTCAGTTTCAAACTTTGACAGTTCCACTCGTTTGGACAGAATCTCCGCTTCCACTGTTCTAAGATTCTCCTTTTCCTCAATGAAAGAGGTAGCACATATAGCTTCTATTGTGTAGCTTACACTTTTAAAAAAGTTGTCACCTAGAAAAATTGTGCCAGCATATTGAAATGGTAGTGACTTTCATCCATGCATATAAACCAACAAACACAAGACATCTGACGGTATAGAAATTAAAGAGCTAACCATAAACAGCAAATACATGTCTGCCCGGTTTTAATTCAGTTATTTCACATGGTTGAAATCCATCCAGTTTTTTGAAGAAAGCTGTGTCAGGATCCTTTGCAGCAGCTACCTGCAGTGGGGCATTCCAAAACCAGATAAAAGATGATGACAAGATCAAACTTCCATGTGAAGCACAACTATAACATATCCAGAAATAGTAACTCACTGAGTTAACCGTTTGATCCAAGCGATAGACAGGGAAGCCAAGAAAATACATTCCAGCAGATGTAACTTTTCCTGTTTTTGCACTGTCCTCCTACACCAAAAAGAAACAAAATTATCTTTAGCAAGTGCAGTAGAGGAACACAATCACTATTGGATACGAGGCACAACAACTTAAACAACTATCTAATCAGACTTCGGTTAAAAAAAAGATTAGGGAATTTTATTATCAGAAGCTCTATAACCGATCACAGTAAAGCCATGTCCCAGACAAACTTTGAGCATATTGACGTTTTATCACTAAATGAAAAGCATCAAACAGTGATAAGAAAGAAAAAAAAGGCAAGAGGAAAAGAATAAGCACATGATGTGAGAAAAAGACAAAGGACAGGATTGCAACTTTCTGAAGATAAATAAAGTTTGACAGTCTGTTATAGTGACCAAAGCCAAGCCAATTTCACCTAATTCTACTCATGCCTCCACAATGTTCTACAGAAGGGGTAAGTAATAAAGACACCTTTTAAAGATATCTCTTGCAGATGATGGGGTATAGGCCTAAAATTCTATTGAGTAATGAGCTTGCTTAGCACCAATCTGCTCTTTGGGAACCCGTCCTAATGATTTATCAAGTATCAACTGTTCTTGTATACAAATGCTGTTGCTTTACTCCAATACTGTGAGCTGAGAAGACTTAAATTGTTCTAGAATTAACAATACATAGCAAGTTCATGAAACAAAATCTGGATGTTACACATATACAGAATGAAAGAGCTTTTATTTTGGAAATTAAAAGAATTAATCGGGATAACTCATCCGAAGGCTATACAACATAGACAATGTCAAACTCAAAAACTTTAAAAAGAGAAAAGGGGAAGGATGTGAGCTCATTACCTGCAGTGAAAGGCTTAATCCACCGTTTTCTTCTAGATCAAAATACAATAACTGCATAAAACCAATTAAATTACTGAATCAACAATGAGTAATTGTTGATGCACCAGAGAAAGCTAAACAATTATATTTTATTTTTTGTGTCTCCTGGTAAACCAGACAATTAGTAAAGTATAAATATTTGTATTTCAAAATATTTTCAAAGGAGAACTTGGGCCCAATACGATTGCCCCTTGGATCTCGAGAAAGTTGGTAGTTCTTAGCAATTCATAATTTCAAACACCAAAAAATTCGGGAGCAAAACATGTTTTAAGGATCATGAAAGCATAAATTACTTTAATTCAAGGGTTTCAATAGAACTGAAATGAAACAAGGGAAAGGCACACTAGCAGACTTGCTCTATAACCTGATTCAGACTAAACCAAAGCAGTGACGCTTAAATCAATATAAAAAGTAAAACTATACAAGAGCTTTGCCGTAGCCCACAAATCAAAACTATCTAGAAAGAAAACACAAGCACATGCCCCAATAAAATAATCACAAACAAAAGTTGCATCTATCTATACTAAGGACCATCCATTGACCACAAAAGAGATGAAACGCCAGCTTCCACCATAAATCCTCTGTGACTTAGATTGAGGGCTTCAATGATTCTCGAGATTCTCAATTCAATCAATTCTTATATCCTAAATCAACAATATAGTCCCAGGGGATGGTTTTCTTTTTTTTCTTCTTTCTTTTTCTTTTATGGCTGAGAAGAAGCGAACCTTTCTCAAATATTTTGATGGGAAGTAAAGAAATGTCCTCTCACTATTTAAACTCCTTTCCCTAAAAAAAAAAAGTTTTGGCTGCTTAATATCTACTATTACACATACACATTGCAAAAGGTTCAAAGGGATACAGTTCAAATTTTGTTTCATTAGCACCAAAAAATAAAATGAATCACAGTTTCTATGAATGCAAACCCCCCCTCTCCCCAACAAAAAAAAAAAAAAGAAAAAGAAAAAACAAGGTTGCATATGCAGATAATGTTGAATCCACAAGTTTCTAACTCAATGTTTATCCACCTTGAACTTGCTTTTATCAGATGATTGCACTCGGCAAACAAACCCTTCTCTTGCTTCCTCTTCTGTTATTGTGAAAGAGTAGAAGTGAGCACGTTGTTTCTCAACCTGTTAAAGGTGCAACAATATCAGTGAATGCATAAAAATCAATCAAAAGTATTAGCAAAGAACAGGAATATAATTATCTCACCTTTCTGGAAACAGGTTGCCACAGAAAAAGTGGACAAATTGTGACCACACCATTAAGTGCCTCCTCCAGAACAGTTGCAGATACAGTGGTCTTAATTGGCACACCAAGTTTACTATTTATAGGAAATAATTAAAATTATATCCAATGCATAGAACTCATAAAGGTGCGGAAGCAATGGAACATGTTAAATAATATAAAAAGGACAAGGACTTACCTAAAAAGTGCAGCAAACATGGTGTTCACAGCCCCCAAACTTGAAAGATCTAGCTCCAATTCTTGGTTATCTGCTTCAACAGCCTATTCAAAGGAAAGAACATCATGATCAACAATTTCATGCTTCATCAATAAAATCATGTTTGCTGGTGCACGATGGTGCACAACAGATTGATAACAAGTGGGAGTGTGGAACAACTGGATTCTTTACAGCCTCCATGTACAACACAAATGATTGTAACAGTGAGAAAATCAAAAATAACCATCAGCAGCCTAAAAATACTTCGGAAATTTAGGTGCATGCATATATATCTCACCTCAAAACCAGCTGTGTCATACTGGCGTCTTTTATCTGGATCAGACAAGATATTATAAGAAAATGTGACCTCCTTGAACATATCAGCTGCAACAGGATCATTTGCATTCTTATCAGGATGATACCTGCAACAGCACAAAATTAGCATCTATAATAGCTAAGCCACCTGAATAAAGCAAGAGTATAACATGAACTTTATTTTTGAAAATAATAAATAAGTCCACCTATATCGAAAGTAGTCAATATGCTACACTGTATGTCCTAAATCACATTTTTTTCATTTCTCATAACAGTTTGCTAGAAAGAAGTATCATCAAGGCAAATAATCCATTCTTTGGATTCATGTTGGAAATAAGCTCCTTCCACGGTGCAGGGTTTACCTTTGTCCTCATGGTACTTTGGCTGTGGTTTTATCTGTTGCTTGACCAGTCTTCCAGATAACTAACCAGTTACTAATTGTGATTCACACTCCCCATCCTAGCACCCGCAAGTATAGGACACCTACACAGAAATCCTGTATCTAATTGGCAAATACCCACATAAAAAAATCTGAAGCTTGGCTAAATCCTCGACAGCTACTTGCTCTTTGTTGATATAATGACTCCCGGACAGATCACCAAACCGAACCCCAGTCACTCGTAAAGCTCCAATTATCATTCCCAAACTGCCTTCCCAATTCAAGTCCTCAATACTTATTCACCCACTATACTCCATGTATACATGTGAGTTTACCATATAATTAACCAAAATTATCACTATGATCAAATTAGTGAACCCTGATCTATCCTATAGCAGCCACTAAAAACTCCAACAAAAAATTACCAGGAATTCAAATTTTTCAAAACTTTTTTAACTTACAAAAAAACATTAAAAAAAAAAAACATACTTGAGAGCCATTTTCCGGTACGCGCTCTTAATTTCCTGATCCGTAGAGTTCCTCGCGACACCAAGCACCTCGTAGGGATCTCGACGAAGCTGCTTCGCCATGCCGTCGTTTTTCTCCGACTTGGATCGATGTGGCGGCATTTTTCACTAACACCACCCAAAAAAAAAAAAAAAAACTATACCGGAATTTTCTTCTCCTTTTAGTTTTTCCTCTCAGAAACCCTAGAAACCCAAACCTTCAACTAAATTCCAAAACCAAATGAAATTTATTTTCCTTATGTTTCCAGCTAATTTCAACGAACTACAACATTTTTGGGTTTTAGGAAGAAAAAAGAAAAGAAAAAAAATAATTTCAGGATCATTGAGAAGAGAAGAGAGAAAGGGGAAACTCCATGGGACCTCCAAAAGCTTGTGCCTTGGAGGGGGAAGAGAGAGAAACGGACAAAACAAAAAGGACGAAAAATTGGAGGGGAAATTAGGTGTAACCGTAATATTTCTTGCTATTTTATTTCTAATTTTTACTCTATTATCGTTATCCTTTAAAATATTTCGAAAAATAAAATTCTCAAAAAACTTCGATGCGTTTATCCGAACAGCGCTATAATGCGCATTGGGCATCTGCTCTAGTTGATCCTTTCATAAGGCATTGGCACGTGCAATATATTGAGATGCACGTGATCGGTTATGAAAGGGGTGCGTATTGCGCATGGTGTACCTTGGAGAATGTAGCAAAAGCGGCATTTTGAAAAAGGAGGGAAACTGTTTTAAATGATGATCCTCTCGGAGCTTGATTGGCATAATCAAAGCTGAAAGGTAACTTAAACAAATCTCAATCAATGACCGCTTGACTTTTTTTATGACATTATCATGACTTCGGACATGGTTTATTCTGGCCTTTTATTTTTAATTTCCTTTTTTTAATAGTTATCAATATATTAATTTAAATTTATTGATGAGATTTAGTTTAGTGATTGTGAAATTGGTTTTCAAATTGAGAATCTTGAATTTAAATTTTTATCATAATTTTAAAATATAAAAAATAATTTAAATTTAAAATTTTTTATCTAAACTTTATCTTTATTAGTTGAAAAAAAGTTACAATTAGACTTCATAATTAGTAAAATGATTAATTTTATATTTTTTATTGTTATAATTTTTTTTTCTTCGCATTGCCTTTTATAAGTTGTACCAATGGGAGCAAACCAACAAAGTCTCTACAAAGGCATGTTAAAATTTATTATTATTACTATTATTATTATAAAAAATAGTATTAAGCTAGTTTATGTTTTAAAAGGAGCATTATTACATTGAATTTGATGATAAATCATTGTGTATTTAAATAGAATTTTAAAAATTGTTCAAATATATGGGAATTGGAAGGTAGAAAACGAATACATTTTGTATTTTAAATTGGTAATGAGGATAAGATCATAATGATGGATGGATATTAAATAAAATAAAAGCTTCAACATGATAATTAATATATATATATATATATATGCATCCTAAATCTGATTCCAACAAGTTGATAATGTAAGAAAACACATAGAATAAAGTAGGAAAGATAAAAGCAACACAAGTTTTCTAGTCTATCTTTTTGCATACAAGAAAGGAATTGATGCAAAAATGAATCACAAACACCTCAAAATTTTCTAGGCATATGGGTTTCAGATGAAACATCGTTCTCAAATTGAATCAATGCCAAGATGAATGAAAGCAGAACTATATTCAAATCATTGATTTTGCCGGCTATAATATCTAGCTTTCAATGTGAGATTTCTAAATTTTTTTGCCACAAAACTATTCACAAGGATATATGAAAGTAGTAGTCTAATCCAATTCTTTGCTCCACACGTTCACCATCATCATCATGGTTAACATCATGAATTATCTCTAAATTATAATAAAATGTTAATGTGATATTTGAATTTTATAAAATTTTAATATAGTCTGATTACTAATGTCTTACTGACCTTTAACCTAACTAACTTCAAATGATAACATATGATTAACAAATAATCTTTTTAATATTATATTAGTAAATAAATTTATAATTTAGATACTACATTAAAAAAATTTTAAATTTACAGACCACATTAAATGTTTCAATATAATTTATAAAATATTCATAAAATTAACCTTATAAATTTCAACAACATTTAGCCCTTTGTGATTAAGGTAAAAGTGTCAAATGAGTTGTAATGGGCCGGCACAACTCATTTAAATATTAGCCCATATATTAATGGATCGAGCTAGCCTAGCATTATTTTTTAATGTGCCATGCTGGCATAACCTATGAAGATTATAGTTATGGCCCAACACGACACATACCTTGTACTCTTCATAAGTCATGCCGTGCTAGACACAAAATTATTTTTTTAATTGAGTAGGGCCAAGTATAGCCTATTAATATCATTTCAAAATTTTAATTATTTTTAAAATTTTTTTTATCTATTATTATTAAAAATAACATGCGAGAGATGATAAATATAAAATGACATAAGAAAGACACTTAATTTACGTGATTCGACAAAATGTCTACATTCACAAAGATAGATCATAGATTTCATTAAATAAAGATATTAAAAATACAATCTTACTATTTTTTAAAATAGTACACACATAATTTATCTATTATCTAATAATACACATATAATTAAAGTTTTACCAACTAGTCCATCTATTAAAAGTAAGTGAAATTCTAGAGAAAATTTTTGATAAATTAAATATTAAAATTTCTTTATAAGAAAAAAATATTTTAAAAGTATTCGATATAATAATATTTCTAAAACTATTTTATAACTAGGTAGTATACTATTTTCTAATTAAATCATTAAAATGTTTATCATCTACAAAAATAAAATGGTTGCCCAAACCACATTATAAATTTAATTAATTGATTACGTCAATTATCTTATGAAAATAAAATGCACCTAAAGACCTGTTAAAATGTTGACTAAGTATAATTTATGTCAGATCATTAAAAGTGACAGGTGCAGCCTCATGTTTTTCTTTATATCTTTTCAAATAATCAATCCCTGATTTTGTTTTATAACTAAAATCTTTTTATATATATGTTATAAGTTTGAAGATTTTGATTGTATAACTTTAAAAAGAATGTTAATTTGTTTTTATACATACAAGTTTAAATAAATAAAAATAATTTGTGTATCAAATTGTTCACAAACTAATTAGATATAATTTTTTTATCAATAACTTAAATATTTAATAAGAAATTTTATTTAATATAATTTTATTTTATAAATTATCAAAAAATAAAAAATTATAATTTCATTAAAATATAAAAAATAACATTAACACGTTTAAAGGTCACAAGTTCATTTATAACAATTATAGGTTAATATATTACGGTACATTTGAACTTGTATTTCACATTATACTAGTTCATGTGCCATGTATTGACACTGGTTCTTAACCAATCATGCCATGTTGACCCATAGATTTGAAAACTTTTAACAACATGACACATATGTGTATTAAATTTGACCTAATTCGATTATTTAACAACAAATCATGATAAATATGACATATTATATCAAATTATATTGTGTTATAAATCGATAAACCCATTTCACACCTTTAATTTAAATTAAGGCAAAAGTAATTATTTGGGTTTTTTTTATTATTTAATATTATTATAAAATTGATTCCTTGTTTCTAAAATTAGATTTGTCGTTGCTTCACATGTGTTTGTTCCATTCCATCTAGGATTCCATGCTACTAATAATGTTGCCCTGGCTGTTTCTGTTTTAGATTTTGACAATCATTGTCTCGGATGTATATGGTTACCAAACTTATCTTCTCCACATACTCTAGGATTTCCAAAGGGTTAGTTTTCAAAGCCGTCAATATTCTGAACGTCACTAGAGTCAGGATCATTACAGCTTTCAGGCCAGTTCAAAATTAAATCATAATAAAAAGGTAAAATAGAAAGGTAAAGTTGTCTACTGTAATGGTCGATTGGTAATTTTATTCATTTTTTATATTTTCTTTTTGTTTTTAATTTTTTAAAAAATTGAAAACAAAAATATAATTGATAGGTTGTTTGTGAAAACAATTTCGGCACTGTTATTATACGTACACTATTTATCTGTTCGGTTACAGTGCTGTTATAGTATTATTACAGTTCAAAATTTTTGTTTTTGGGCAGATTCGAACACCTCTCATTTAAAATATAAAAATTTTTACTACTTTCTCTTATATGTTTTTATCTTTGCTTTTTTAAAACAAAAGTATTCTATCCAAACATGTTTTCAAATTCAATAAAATGAAAATAAAATAAAATAAAAATTTTAAAAATATAAAGCATAAAATTTAAAACACAATAATACCAAATGATCCCTTTAATTATTTCATTTAACTATTTATGTTAACAGTAAAACTATAAGAACATATTACCTATAACTATTATATTATAATTAATTTATCATAATTTAAAATTGTATGAGATGATTAAAATTTTTTATGAGATGAATAAAATTTTTTTATGAAATCACACTTGCTTAAAATTATAATTGAACAAATTATAAGATTATAATAAAAAGAATTATAAATAAAATGCACCTTGGATATATAAATATATTTAATGAGAAGGGAACATTGAAAAATGTTGGACTAACTTTGGGAAAGTATAATACATGCAGATGAGCATCATCTTCCAGGATAAGTGTGAAGTCCTCGTCACCCTAGAAAAAAGAAGCATCCAACTGGCATTATTTACCCAACCACTGAAGACACCCTGTGCCTGTGACCATATTGCGATCAAAGCTTAAAAGTTAAAAGTCATTGTCATCAACTTATATTTTTAGCAAAATAGATATTATCTATGGCTTTCCAAATAGGAAAATGGAAGGAAAGTTGGGAGCTTTTGCTTTGTTGAACGCTGCCAAAAAAATCATTGATGTGGCATAAAATTCCATTCCAAATTCTGATAAGTATAAAAAATTGTTGTTCAATTATTACTAAGTTGTTTTTATGACGAGAAATTCCAGGTTTTGTTAAAGTGGGGAAGGATGGGTGACTAAACACCTAACAAATCAGTGTATGAACTGAATTCATTGTCCCTAGCATTATAGAGACAAAGATGAATCAACCTTTGTTGTCATTCTTAGCTTAAAATAAAGGCTCTGCTTTTTTTAAACTAGTATTCCTAGTAAAGGATTGCTTTTTCAAGAGATGTCAAGTTGGCATATAATGATTGATATAGAAGAGTAATTAAAAATGGCTTCCAATGTGCGTGGGATTCGATACGTGTAATTTTTTTATTTTTAAATTACTATTTTTTAAGTAAAAAATAATAAAATAACAATATAAGAAAAGATAAGAAAAGCTAAAGATAAAAAGCAAAAAAAAAAAGACAAAAAATCAAACAAGAATTTCGATGGGCCAGCAGCCCAACATGAACACCAAGAAACAAGACATTACAGATGCGGACTTTAAACCAGCCCAAATCATATAAATTAACCAGGTGGGGTGGCTGTCCATAACCTGAGTGTGCTTTTTTCCAATTTCCGAATGGCCTGCGTTTGGGATCATAAAGTCCAGGACCTTCAGAAAATGATTCACAAACTCATTATTTTGTAGGCC